TCTGAAGTTTTACGTGTTCCGCCTTCCCTGGTTTTAGGTGTGCTTGACAGTAGAAGTTTCATTACAGCAGCAGGAGGAATGTACCTTCTGCCTGGAAGGTTGCTATCTGATTTTGGGAGTGAACTGGCTTTGATCATCAAGGTGTTTGTCTACTGACTGGTGTGCTGCCCTCGAGCCGAGTTTGCACAGGGATGTATGTGCGAGGCTCCCACGCTCCCCTCGAGCCCTACTGTTGCTTCTCCTCTGAGGAACTTGACCCGATGGAGGGTGCTTCCGCATCATGAAAACTTGCACTTTCCGAGTGGGAATCGGCAGGGAATCTGCCCGAAGGCAAGGGTGACATGAGGGTGCTTCCCAGGTTCCCAAAGCGCTTGAACAGCAGCTTTGCTTGGAGAGCCACCGACATCCAGGGCTGATGGACCGCACGTATGTGCTTCTTCCGAAGGTTAGCAGTGAAGGACGCAAGAAGAAAGGATTCTGGTTCACTTAGCGAAAGCCATTGCTTCTTCCATGGTGGTGGTGACAGAAACCTGCCTTTCCCCCATTTTCCCTTAGGTCTTCCTTCCCACAGCGGTGGCCAGGCCAGCAGACAGACCTCTCCCCACCCCTTGTGCCTGTGGGGCGCCTCGGGGAGCAGAAGGATGGCAGTGCAGGGTCCTGGCTCACCTGGCTGCAGACCCATCCCGCTGGGGACACAACAACTTTGTTGGTTTGCTGTGGGCACCTGAGAGATTGTATTTGCTCCATGAGCCATGAGTTTCCTGAGGCAGATGCTTCCAGTCCTGCCTGCAGGAGGAAATCGTGGAGCAGCTGTGCGGGGGGACTCGGCCTTTCTGGGGGAACGGTGCGGTCCTGGCATCCCTGCCCCGTTTGTTCAGGGGGGAGAGTTCCGAGAGCCCCGCCGAGGGAGCTGGCATGTGGCACTGTAATTTGCACCATCTATCTCTTTCTGGAGCTCGGGCCGCTGGCAAATTGCGTATCTTTGTGTTGGATTAGTTTGGACTTTAATCATGCATTATTTTCCCTCCAATTAAATTATTTATATATTTGATTAACGTTTTCACTGCTAGGGAGTCAAATGTTCAGTGAAACCACAAATAAACACATACCCATTGAATTTCAGGCCAGCTTCAAGTGGGAGAGCTCTGTTGGTGGAATGCTGAGGATTCACTGTGTGTCTGTTTTCTTAGTTACCTGGGACTCGGGGGGAGCACGACCCACCACTGGGTCCTAGAAGCACACTGCAGGGGCGGGGGGCTCTGTCTGGCCTCCCTCCCTCCCCTTATTTAGCCTAGGATCCCGACTTTTCTTCCTTCCTGTGGTTTTTGTCTTTTCCCTGGTGCTGAAACCTCCCCCTCTAATTTAACTTCCTCAGGCTTGACCAGCCTGATCAGGGGCTCTGCCGCCTAAGAAGGAAAGTGACATCACTTAGGGGTGAGCAAACTGGCAGCCCACAGGCCAGCTCTGGGCCCCTGCTCGCCTTTGCACAGCCCCTGAGTGAAGAAATGGTTTCTACAGTTTGAAATGGTTGGGGGAAAAAAAAAAATCTTAAGACTATTTCTTGACATGTGAAATGTTCAGCCTCAAAGATAAACAGAGGCACCCATTCATTTACGCGTGGTCTATGACTGTTCATCTAAAATGGAGGCCGAGTTTGGGTACCTACGACCTTTTGGCCAGCAGAGCCTAAAATAGTTCCTGTCTGGCTTTTTACAGAAAAAGTTTGCCGATACCTGATCTAGTTGATCACCCGGATTTAACAGATGAGAAAATTAAGTTTCGAGTAGGAGAACTGCCCTGTGCCGAGATGCAGAGCTCATCAGAACTGGGTCCGGGAGGCGTCTTCCAGTGCCCATCCCACGTTCTTTCCGCTAGAGTGTAGGGCCCGCCTCCTTGCAGAGGTCCACGCAGCTTGTGAAAGAAAAGTAAATGTTTAGGACACAAGGACAGAGACGATCTATTTCTTAGAATTTTAATTTTCTCTTGCAATCCGGCGTCAGGAGCTGCATTAAGCCTACAATGCATTTGGACTACCCGAGTAGGCAGAGGGACGTCTTCGTGCTTCTTCAGAATAATGGATTACATCCTGTGCTCAGCCCTTGGACCTGGTCCCCGCTGGCCGAGGGGGTAGAATCTCATTTCTAAAAAAATACCTCGTGGTCTCAATCCAACTTTGTACTCAAGAGCAGTTTCAGAGAATTACAAAAGCCTATTAGACGGAACTGCGGTCTCCTGTATGGGGGTCAAGAGGGAAGACCCCCCCCCCCCCCCCCGCCGATACTAACCTTTCTGGAAGCAAGGCTGGTCCTCCTGGCTAGCCCAGGTTCTTCTGCGTCTCTCCTCATGGGAGACCAGCTGGCTGATCGACATGGCATGCCTGGCCCTGGAATTTTCAGACATTGTCCAGAGGCCAAGGTCAGTGAGCGCTGGTGAAGTATACAAATAGGAAATGGGGTCTTTCAGTTACGGCTCTCTCGTCAGCTCCTTGCTGGATGCCTCCTCTGTCTGCTTGACTCATCCTCTCCCGCCACCTGTGCTCCTTCCCTTCCACTCGAGTTCCTCATCCTGTTCATCAAAGGCAGCGAGTTCTGTCCCACGGGTCTAGCTTTTCGGCCACAGGGACCCTTTCTCCACACACCCTCTCCTATCTGCACACTCGGCGGGTCTCCAGGCGTCGCTCAGGTCCTACCATGAATGCCCCTTCATTGAAGAAGTTGACCCTGCTCTTCCATGTGCCACATGGATTTAAGACCCCCTGTTCATTATTTTTAGAAAACCCTCTTCCTTTCACAACACTGATCACAACTGTAATTGTATAGTCATTTCAGGCATTATCGGTAGATTGTCCGTTCCTTAGGGCAGGAAGCATGTCTGGCTGGTTCCCCAGCACGGGGCTTGGAGTGGAGAGGATCTCGGTATACAGGGGTAAACGCTGAGCGGAGTAAATACTGTTTATTATTCAGTATTTCAGTAAATACTGAACGGAGTGTTGCAATCACATACTGTGCAGTAAGCATTTATTCATCAATGCGGAAAAAAAAAAGTGTTTCTAGAAAATGTGAGACTCTGCTCAATGCAACATCCACTCAGAAAATTAGAAATTCTAGCTCATACTTGGGGAATCGCACCATCTCCTCTCGGAGACCTGGGGATATTGGATAACAAGCACTCAGCTCTCTTCAGGAAGTGTGTGTGCGGAGCAAAGAGAATATGATCACCCAGTGTTCCCAGCAAGGTGGGGTTCATGTTTGGATATCACTCAAATCCTTTTAGCTCACGATAGTGTATCGTCATAAAGTCATAGAACATGTTACGTTAAAATCGTATTGTATGGACACTAGGTGAAATGAAACTAAGTCAAGACAAGCAGAAGCATCAAGTTCAATCCCTTTTGTCCAGTGAAAGTTCAGTCTGCCACCTGAGTCCAGTCCATTCAGCAAATATGTACTGAGGACTTGCCAGGTACCAGGGACCCCGGCCATTTGCTGAGACTATGAAATGAGAAGGTGTGGGTCCTGTCCTCTAGTAGACTCAGCCCGGTTCTAACTCTGGTTTCCAGCTCCTCCCGCCTTCCTCTTCCTCCGTGTCCTTTCCAATCCAAGGAGGTTATTTCCAGTACCTCGGGGAAAAGTGAACCAAGAGCAGTTTTTATGGGATGGATTTGTGTGATGAGCAAGAGATGCTCAAGGAACGGGGAGGTCACAGCCACTGCCTTTCTCCGCCCTCACCCAGTGTTCAAGTCCAGAAGGCAGAGCAAAGGTCATTTTATTCGCCCCCTGGAGGAACAGGGTAAGGCCAGCTGAGGGCAGACTCCAACCCGCAGGCCCCCAGAGACCACTCACTCAGGAACCAGAGCCTGAGCAAGAAAGTCATTAAACGTTCTGTCACGCGACCACACAGTACATGGAACCCAAAGGCGGCTTTCTCTTATCGAACAGACTCATCTGTGGTGTGTTTCTACGTACACTTGAGAAAATGCTTGCAAGAGGCTTAAATTAAGGCAAATAGAATGTGGGGTAAGGAAACCACAGAATAAAACCAACAGGACCCACCCAGGACACTGACTTCTTCAGTAACTAAATGGACATTTAAGTCACATAATCATCGTACTGAAATCGACTTAAATTGGATCCGAGGTGAGAACGGTCTCTTCCTCGGGCGTTTCTCTAGGGTTTTTTGTGTCTTCCCGTTGTAGGACAGTTGAGGTATGACCCCCCCCCAAGGAACTATATTAAAAAATGGTTCTAAAACTTTGAGTGAATGAGGCATTCAGGGAAATTCATCTTCGTTTTAGAAATGGAGTTAAGAGAGTTCTATAAAGCTGGGAAGAACGTTCGAGTCTAGGTAAGCCATCCCTGTATTTTGTACATCAAGAAAGCTGTGACCCAGACACTCAAGCATTTTGCTGGGTCTCCTGGTCCTCTTCAGTATTTGGTTCTTTTGTCTGTGATCATCACCCGAGAGAAAAAATCCCACTGACTGGAGCTAAAGTGTAGTTCAGGAAAGTGCTTCCTTTGGTTTTGCTGCTCCTGTCAGGGAATGATGTGTGTGCGGGCACACGTGTGTGCACGCGTGTGCATGTTCCCTTCCTGAGAGCGCAGCCGCAGTGCTAACCCGAGGACTGGAGTGCGTGGGAGCTCCCCTGTGCTCTGTTGACCTTGACTCGCACTAGGCAGGTGAAAAAGGCAGAGACCCAGCGAGGATGCGTGGGCTCACCCCATGTCATGCCTCCCCTCTTCTTGGCCACCACGCCACCTCCAAATAGCGCCACAAAATACAGGTGCATGATTACTAAGGGCAAATTTAAGAAACCTACAACCTAAAAAAATAAAACAACAACAACAAAAAAAACCAAAAAACAAAAACCACCATCTGTATTTCAAGTTATCATACGTTCCTTAGGGCTGAGGGTTGGGGCGCCTTTTGCCCTCCCTTTTGTCGCCTTCAGAAATGAGTCCTGCATTCCCACGCGCTCTTCCTTTCTTTTGTTCCCACCCCAGCATATAAACAACGACCACATTCACGGTGAGAAGAAGGAGTTCGTGTGTCGGTGGTTGGATTGCTCGAGAGAGCAGAAGCCCTTCAAAGCCCAGTACATGCTGGTGGTGCACATGAGGCGGCACACGGGGGAAAAGCCTCACAAATGCACTGTGAGTGCACGGCGTGGGCCGTGGGCATGGGGGCCCTTGGCGGGGGCGCTTGTCGGGGTGGGGTTCCTCTGCATGCTGTGCGGACACAGACCCTGCCGAGGGGGTGGGGAACTGCCCGGTGGTGGGAGGAGCCGGGTGCTGTGATGAACGCCAAGAGTTCTGAGAAGGGGGTTCTGGAATTGGGGGGAAAGACAGAAATGGAGAAGGAGCCGTGACAACCACACTTTGGGGGACAACGGAAGCGCTCTGACCTGCACTGTCCAACAAGGTAGCCGGGGACCCTGTGGGCCCCTTGAGGGTTTTGGACTCCTGGCCAGAGCAAACAAGGAATTGATTATTGTACTTCCATTTAATTTTTTTTAAATGTAGATATAAACAGGGGCATACGGCTACTGCGTTGGACAGTGGAGCCGTGGGTGGGCGGGGGGCAGCTGGGATACACTGGTGGGCACTGGCAATGAGCACGTGGCCTGCATGCCTGCCCCAGCAGAAATGTCCATCACGCTGGAAGACCCGGAGGGCAGAGAGACATGCCAACTTTGACCTGAAGCCCATAAGCTCACTTTTAAACACAGAACCCACGTGACTTCAGAGTTTTCCTTTGCCTTCCTAGTCCATCCCCATGGCCCGGTGTAGACACACAAGAAGGCTGGGACTAAGCCTCCTTTCACACAGGAGCCTCCAGGAGCACTGGGCACTGCTCAGACCTGCGCTTTACATCTTAAAGGCTCTTTACAAACATGATCAAATTCCATGCCTTTGTATGGACCCAAAGCCATATTAGTGAACTTTGTGCTGAATCTAAAATCAGTGGGAATTTGAGGAGATCAGTGAGCAGATAATGAAACCCATTGTCCACATTGAGTGGTCTATTAAAAAACACATGAAAGAAAGAAAGAAAGAAACCTCCAGGACTTTTTAGTAACCTTGAAAATGCTGTCTCTTCAACAGCACTGAGCCCCATCTGAATCCCAGTAAATGCAGAGTTTAGTGGACTTTTGTTCCTTGGTTTTGAAAAGCTGCTGACCCTCGAAATGTCAGTCTTTCATCAACTTTGGGGGAGTGTTAGGCCTAACCCCGTACTGTGTGGAGTGATGCAGATTTACCTGTTGTCCTCAGTTTGAAGGTTGCACAAAGGCCTACTCGAGACTAGAAAACTTGAAAACGCACTTGAGATCTCACACTGGAGAGAAACCGTACGTCTGTGAGCATGAAGGCTGCAACAAGGCTTTCTCAAATGCCTCGGATCGCGCCAAGCACCAAAACAGGACGCATTCCAATGAGGTGAGGCTCCCCCACGAGGCGCTGTTTGGGCCCGGAGCTCAGGGTGGTAGCAGAGAGCCCTCATGGGCAATGCACATGGAGACAAGGCCCATTCCGTTTCATTTCCTGTTGGCCTTCCTGGCAGGAGTGGGCGCTGGGCTGCAGGTCTCCGCCCCTGGGGCTGACTGCAAATGGGCCCGGTCTGGTGAGCAATGCAGACCTGGGGGGACCTCAAACCCTTGGCAAGCAGGTTTCGCCTTGTTCAGAACTGCCACCTACTGGTCAAACAGTAAGAGCATTTTTAAAAAATATATTTTATTTATTTGTCAGAGAGAGAGAGAGATAGCACAAGCAGGGGGAGTGGGAGAGGGAGAAGCAGGCTCCCCGCCGAGCAAGGACACCGATGCGGGACTCAGTTCAAGGACCCTGGGATCATGACCTGAGCCAAAAGCAGACGCTTAACCGACTGAGCCATCCAAGCATTCCCCAGTAAGAGCATTTCACTTTGGCATTCCACCCACTTGCTCTGCCCGGAATAGCATGAATCCATGTGGAGAATGACCCAGTAAGCAGCCAGGATGGACGCCCACCTTTCCTTGCTTTCTCTAGGCGGTATCTTCCAATGCAGTCTAGCCAAAAAGGCCTTTACAGGCCACCGACCTTGGCCAAACAGGATTTCCAGGCATTCTCATTTCCAGAGGCTCTTGGGAGCTGTTTTGTCCATAGTTACCCCCCAGAAGTTCAGAACAGTATTACGAATGAAAATGATAGCAAATGATTTGGCCTGTGTTTTAAGGCACATCTGCCTGCAGGCCTCCAATTTCTCTTTGAAGAAGGTCGAGCTCAAAGTTCGGGTTCCTCTGTGAATGCTTCTCTGGAATGAGTCCAGAGATGAACAGAAAAAGCTCCCCGCATTTTGCGTAGAAATAGGATTTTTGGCCAGAATTTGTTAACGTGAGACATAGTTCTGCTCCCGCTAAGGAGGTCATCGGTTTGCTTGATATGTGTGAGAGAAGACACATTTGACCTGGCTTAGCAGCTCAGGGACCACTGGCCTTAAGGTCCTCTCCAAGTGTCCCTTCAGCTCACGGCGACAGAGCAAACACATCTCTAATGGAAGGAGCCACGCTTTTCTTAAAAACACACTCACACTTCAGCTCACATGTGCACGTCCACATGTACAGATGCTTTTTAAAAAGGTTGTGGCGGAATGAGGAGACATCCGTCATTTGGAACCTGTTATTATCAATCAGCTATTGCAGGAGACTTTAGGGGAGACGCCATATCTCCGTTTTTTAATGTCAAAAATGCCTCTACTACATGCAGTGGTTATAGTGTAATCTGCTGCTGTTGTTTTGTGCAAAGTTTTAGGGAGTCTAGGCAAAGCCATAGAGATGGAAAACAGATTAGCGGTTTGCCAGAGGCCGAGGGAAGGGACTAGGGGTGATTGCTAATACATACAGGATTTTTTCTGGGGACATTGGAAATATTCTGGAATTTGACTGGTAAGTGGAGACCATTGCATAAGATTGTGGAAGTACTAAATGCCACTGAATTGTGCAATTTAAAAGGGTTTTTTATGGTATATGGATTAGATCTCAATATAAAATGTTTTTGGGGATTTGATTAAGTTAGAATTAAATTGAATTAATATATTTAACTGCACTCCATGTATTTAAGTACAATTACGACTAGACATCTTGGAGGTATTCACTTAGATTTTTAGGCCAAGTTTCCCTCCTGTTGCTGTGGAGAAATTGGGGCAAAGGAGGGGTTGGGATTAGCAGTGCACACATACACACACACTTACTCAGCTTTTTGTCTTTCTTATGGACTTAAATTATGTGCACAGCTGTTTGCTTTTAAATACACTAGAGTTGAGCTTGTCCACTTCTGGGAGGTCAAGAGTGTAGCTTTGTCTCAGCATTTATCCAATATGAGATTAAACGAAGCACTGTTCGATCATACCTTTCACCAGGGTTGAGCAGCGTATAGAAACTCAGTTAGCCACCTTGACCGCACCAGGCTTTGGCCCTCCAGAAGAATGACGGACAGCTTCACTTGCAGCAAAATTTCGAATCTATATTTGTGTCAGGAGCCGGTCCACAATAAATCTAGATATCCTCCTTCATTTATTGGCTCTCTCTTATTTGTACTTTCATTCATTGCCCCAAACAAATATCGAGAGCTAGTTAGGGGGCACATGCTCTGCTGTTGAGGGAATGGAACAGAATACTGTGAACTCGAACAAGAGGGGCATTTTTCCCATTCAGGAAGCCAGTCTGGCATTCCCCCTACACCCTTAGGCTGCCTCACCCATTTGGGGCCACAGCAGTGGCCTCTGCCAGGGATCCCGACTTGAGACCACACAGCTCATGTCCCCCCAGAGTCACGCTAAGTAAGAATCCTTGAGCTCGGACTCGGTGTGTCTCCCTCTCCAAAACGTTCCAATGGCTTCCTCTTTCCTAGAGGGAAAGTTTAAACTCTCTGGGTCTATACCTGCTGGCACCCAGCCCATGCCTGCCCTTCCAAGCTTGACCTCTTACCTCTGTGGACATGCGTGGAACTGGACAGCCTCGCCCGCAGGCATGAAATGCTCCTGCCACTGGACCCTGGTTTTACATTTTGCATCCACTTACCTTCACTTTTATCCCCCAGAATCTTGGTCTTCTTTCAGGACCCAGCTACAAAGCCCCCTGGTAATAAAGTTCTGTTCACTGATTAATCACTCTGTGCAACAACACATCATGGTGAGCATTTCATACATTGTCTCATTTAACCGTTAGACCCCACGAGCTGGGTGTTATACCCGGATGTAACGACGTAGAAACCGATGCCTCCCACAGTCACCCCAACTAAAAAATGATTGCCCTCCGTCCACACCCTTCGGGGGCATTCATACTTGGGACTGGTGATAATTACAGGCTTTCTTATTTTTCCTGCACTTTTTATAACCCCAGATATTAAATCCTGCAGCTTATAACTTGACATTCTCAGAGTCTTGCCTATAGTGGGGACCACTACACATTCATTGAGAATTGTAGTTGGATAAATGCTACAAAGTCAAGTAAAAAATGCAGCAGTCGCTTTCACAAAGTACCCTTCCGTTGGGTGAGTCAAAAAGGAAACGACCATGGCAAAAGTCGAACATCTAGGACAGGAGACACGGGTAACTCAGGGAGACTGACAGCATTTATCCCCGCAGACAGTTCTAGCATTTCAGTCACTGGTCACAAGCAAAGACCTTCCACCGCTAGCTGTGTCCTCACGTCCAGCCTAACCCAGCGTGGACACATGCATATACTTATGGGAAGAGCAGCAGCTCAGACGCGTAACGCTGGCCTGACTTGGCGCTCTCTCCCTGCACCCCCCCTCCACCACCCCCTCCACCCCCTGATGCCTGCGCTGTGCATCCCAGCATGCCTGCTGATGGAGCGGCCTGTCCCAGCAGCGTGGTGAGCAGGCGTAGGGCCCATGTCAGACGCTGGAAGGTAATGGCCACTCATGGCTGGAGCCATTCTTCTGTCCCTAACGCATAGAAGTCGATGTGCTCATTTCATTATATATGTGCTGCAAATCACAGCAGCCCCTGAATAGAAGTAATTCATAGTTAATGGGAATCAATTCTCCCCAAAAGAATCTCAAATTTGGAGGTGAAGTCTCTCGGGATAATTTTTGGAGTCTTCCCTACATTAGGACATTTCATCATTTTCTGTAGCACTCAGTCTGTTCTTGGGCTTTTAGTGAAAAAGCATCTTTTAGACACATACATTCTATAAGACAGGGCAGCTTTTTTTAATATAATGGGTATATTATACTAATCATGCTTTTTATGACTGTCGCTAACCTAATAGCTCATCTTCTGGTCTACGTAGATACGTATTCTTGGAAGGAGTCACGAATATATTATATTTCAAGCCAGGTAAACAAAATCCCGGTTTTGATGTTGGTCGTGAGTAAATGCCAGCGATTCTGTGATTTGAGTAAATAATTTAGCTATAAGCATCCGTAGAATTTTTAATGACTGCATTTGTAGGTTTGATCACAGGCCCACATGGAACATGGAATCATTCACAGGCTTTAGCACTCAGGGGCAGACCCAGACAGGCATCCTCCTTTCCAGGACACCAACCACCAGCCCTTCTCAGTTTGTGAGTGAGCATTCACAGACGGTCAGACAGGGCTTTGCGACTTTGAGAATCAGGAAGGTTCTGGATATTCTGAGTCCCGAACATCCCACAGGGTTGTAACATGACCCAAATGGACGTATTTTAGTGATCTCTAACACAGAAGAGGCTGTAGGCATTTTTTTTACATGCTAATATGCACATTTTCACAAAGGGTGTAGTGATTTTTGATCAGAGAACCAGGACATCCCGAAGAAATGTCTTCACACGACCTCTCCCAGAGGCACATGGCGTTCTGATGAGGTGATGTGTGTAAGACTCCTTCTGCAGTTGTCACCATCATTGTCGTCTTCACTGTCACCTTCAAATACCTACTGAGCAGCTACCCTGACACCAGGAACCTTCTTCCCACTCATAGGATAAATGTTTCCAAGAACATACAGGCGATCTGCACATTTGCAACTGTCCTTGAGCATCTTTTAAAATAATAGTCTATTAAAGCCAAATTCGCAGGCCCCGAACAGTGTTCAAACGGCCTTTATTTTTTTTTTCATTTTATTTTATTTCTTTTCAGCGTTCCAGAATTCGTTGTTTAGGCACCACACCCAGTGCTCCATGCAATACGTGCCCTCCTTATTAACCACCACCAGGCTCACCCGACCCCCACCTCCTCCGCTCTAAAACCCTCAGTTTGTTTCTCAGAGTCCACAGTCTCTCATGGTTTGTCTCCCCCTCAAATGACCTTATTAAACCCTTAGCATCTAGAGGTGTCTGAACACCTCCCAGCTTTGCGGAGGTGCTTTGAAAGAGTGAAAGCTGCGGTGTGTGTCCATGAGACTGTTGGGCTGCGGCGCGAGCGCTTTGGTAACAATCTCTTATTTCATTTGTGGGGCTTTTGGCAGAAACCGTATGTGTGCAAAATCCCAGGCTGCACGAAGCGCTACACAGACCCGAGTTCCCTCCGGAAACACGTGAAGACGGTGCACGGCCCAGAGGCTCACGTCACCAAGAAGCAGCGTGGGGACATACATCCTCGGCCCCCCCCGCCCCGCGATTCTGGCAGCCATTCACAGTCCCGGTCGCCCGGCCGGCAGACTCAGGGAGCCCTCGGGGAGCAGAAGGACCTCAGCCACACTACCTCAAAGCGGGAAGAATGCCTCCAAGTGAAAGCAGTCAAGGCAGAGAAGCCCATGGTATGTCACTCGCTTTCCTTCTGGTCCCCAAGTCATCCTAGGTTATTTTAAAAAGTCAACGAGGGCATGAGGACGGACTAGACCACCTGGGTCCTCATTGCACTGGACTCCCTGATTGAAGGGGTCAGGAGCTCAGAGACCCGGATTCCTTACTTAAGGTTAGTCAGCATAGAGTAACTCAGAAAGGAGCATCAGAGTTTCCTAACTTTTTAAAATCAGTCTGGAACCATAGCACATCATGGCAGGTAGAAAGAACGGCATGACCGACTACATTTCCAGTAGACCTGTAATGGAGAAAATCAGCCCTTCAGGCTTTCTATAAACGTGTATTTTGCATCGTGCTTTGCCCTGGTAACTCTGAAATAAATAAGCACGGTCCCTATTCTTTAGGCGTTTATAGTCCCGTGGGCTAGACAGACCACCAAAAAGCAAATACTTAGAACTCTGTGTGATGGGTCTTTCCCACAAGTGCGCGTGAGAGCATTTGAGAAGGGAACAGACCGCCTGTCCACTTGAGGATGTGATAGGGAAGGGGGTGGGGGTGGGTCTCAAGTTCAGCTCTCAAAGTGGGGGAGGTGCAGGCCTGACATTGCAGCAGGAGCCAGTGGCGGGTTGGGGGGGGCGTGGTAGTGGTCCAGGACGATGTGCAGGAATGAAAAGGACTGAGGAGGAAAAGGGGTTCTATTTTATTGGTGATGGTGAATGACGTGGTCCGGCTGCTTTTTAGAAAAGCCAGCTCCAGTGCCAGGCTAGGGATGGGCTTGATAGACTGGAGACCATTTTGGCAGTGGAGCCCGAACCATAGAGGTGAGGAGCAAGGGATGTGCTGGGGTCTCATCTGGCTACTCTATGTACAGAGGAACGTACCCGATAGAAGTCGTGGGCTTGGATTTCCAGATGCACACGACTGGTCAGGCGGGCATCGCTATGCTCAGTTTCGCAAAGTGTCTTCCTAAAATCAGAAAAGTCCAGCAATTGGATGGACATCCTATGAGTTCCTGAGTGATGTCACCATGCAGCAGTACGTATGGAGAGGAAACGATGCCCACGTACAGTTTTGGAGTTGACCGAGTGGAATTTAATGATTAGTTGAATTTTAATGACTTGTTGAGTTTAAGAGTTTTAGAGAGTGACATTAAGTGTAGCCAAATAATACCAAGAAATTGTCCAGGTTTATCATGAGTTGCCAGTGGGTAGCTGTATTTTGTTTTTAGAAAGAAAGAGAGAGAGAGGAAGGAAGGAAGGAGGGAAGGAGGGAGGGAGGGAAGGAAGGCAAGAAGGAAGGAAAGAAAAGAAAGAAAAATAAATACAAAGCCCTTTAGTCAAAAAATAAACGATAATAAAAATAAAAAGCACCTTAGTCAAAAGGTGATGTAGTCTTATGACTCATCACCATGCGTTAAAGTTAATTAGTTCATAAGCGGTGTTGTGCATACTTTTGGGGGGGATCGCATATCCATTTCCTAAAATAAAGTCTACCGGTACAACGTGCAGAACATTCAACAGTTTATCCCCAAGTATTTAATGAAACAAGGAAAATGAATTTGTAGTCTCCTAGATTATGTCATCAAAAGACAATGATTTATGTTCTTCGGACAGCCTAAGGACCCAGAGCCTCTTGTACCTTTAATATACATCCCTAGCTCAAGAAAACGTGTCATTTCCTCTCCAAAGACCCATTATTTAAGAAGAAAATTGGTAGAAATAAGAACGTATAGTTATTTTGTTCAGTGACATCTGAGATGCCCCAAGATGTGAACTATTTTATAAAGCAATGAAATCATAGAAACATACACTGGAAGGGACCATAGAGCTTGAGACAAGGCTCCATATGTTATAGGGAAGGCTAATAAATTCATCTGATTTCCTACAGGGGACTATTTTGTCTGTATATATCCATACACATATAAATATAAGTAGATCGCTTTGTAGACATTTACTAATGCATATGAGATTTACATTTCTAATATTCTTTCTTTAAAAATGTATTCTTGATCATCGTGCTATGAATTAAATTCTTCTTTTTTCTTATTAATTCCACATCTCTTCTGTGTAATGCTCCTAAATGTCTTGTTCTCACTTCCTAAGGACAGTGGGTAATAAGGTGAGGGAATTTTGGCTTCTCTGCTCTTTTTGTTTTGTGTTTGTTTTAACGTTTAACTTCTGTGCGTTTGATTTTTCGTTTTTGTGCTTTGTGGTATCTTTGGTAGTGAACATTACTCAGCTATGTTTCACACGTAGAAGCAATGTGTTTTGAACATTCAGCATGTGGAAATGTGGTCAGCTGATGAAATTCATTGTTCTATTTGTCTAGGTTTTCATAACAAATCACGGCCGGCCGACCAAGCAGATGTTCTCAAAGACTATCACATTATCGAACTGAAGCATGTAAACTCATTCTGGGACAAGACGGGTGTCCTCACTCTTTGAGGATGATCTGGATATATTGTTGTTCCCAGTTTAATCTGTGTCGAAGTATCTGAGCTCCTCTGAGCGATTCTCTGGTCTTAAAGGCCTTTGTGCCTCCTTCTGTGCCCTGTTAGAGGCTTGAGTCTATGGTGTGTGTGTGCATACACATAGACACACACACAGACACACACACAGACACACACACACAGATTCACCTGCACACACTCTGAGCTGACAGTCCAAGAGTCAAAGCCCTCGAAATCCTGGATGCTCCAAGTCCCTTGGGAAGGAGCAGGTGGCCTGGCCCTTCAGGATTCTGCCAAAGCAAAACATGAGCCAGGCTTCCCAAATTCCCCATCAGATTTGTGTATCTCATTTGGCTCTGCTTGGTTGCCCGGGACAAATTTGGTGTATCACATGGCATTCACTTAGGAAGTCTTCATCTGCTTGGCTGTACATAGTGTGGTTGTGAAATGAGTGTGATGGGCTCTGCTGAGAAGCCCTATGCCTAAAACCCCTTCCCGACAGCCCTGTGCACCCCACCTGGGACAACAGTGGGGGTCCATAACTGAGTGCGTGTGGTTCTCTCTCCCGGGAGAATTTGTTCTTGGGGCTGCTGGCAGCTTCTAGTTGTTCCAGTAACGCTAGAGAAGCCTCTGTGGGGAGATGGAAATGGTGCTGGGCAGGGAGTTTAGGTTGGTCTTAGCATTGACCTTGTGAATTTGTGACTTTGGGCAATCACTGAACTCTGAACGTCAATTTTCTTATCCACAAAAAAGGGATTATCCTGTATATCTACCAATGGAATTCACCATTGGAATTTTAGATAGAGCGGTTCTAGGCTGTGCAGACTGGTCAGTGAGGGCCATTTTATAGGGTGCCCCCCCCCAGATCTGAGGACAACCAGCTCTCCTTCACTCCGCATCTCCAGGAGCCCTGGGGCTGGGGGGGGTGGTCCTTTCCCTGACGGAGAGCCTGTGCACTGGCTCAGGTTTCTCTCTAGTTGTAGAACTGGCTTATACAGTCCACACAGTGGTGATGAGGGAAACACTGCCTGATTCTCCCAGAGAAACGCCAGGGCACTTTAGGGGAATGGGAAGATTATTACAGACTCAGATGGCTGTAACTTGGAGCATTTCTTGCAGCTGTCTTTATGCACAGCCTTGCTGGGGTTCTGTGGAGCAGGCAAGTGTAGACAGAAGTGGGTGAGGTTACAGAGAGCTTGAGCAACTAGCCCTGAGCAGCTCAGAGAGGGTCTCATGGGAGAGGACCTAGTGTGCCTCTCAAGCACCCATCTCCCGAGCCCACTGGAGCCAAGCAGAACGAGCCTGTGGACTAAAGCCACCTGGGATAAGATGAACTGCGAATGCCCTCGGAGCCGAATGGGAACTGTTTCCCAGGTCTTTGTCTATTTCGTGACCTCTCTGGGCCTCACACTTAATTCCCGCCACAGTCCCAAAGATAAGTAAGTTGTCCCCATTTTGTAGATAAGGAAACTGAGGTTTAGAGTGACTGAGTCTTTTGCCCAAAGGGTCAAGTCAAGTCGTGCAAGTGGGATTAGAGCTGAGGAAGCCTGTTTGCAGAGCTGGCATCTAGGGAAGGATCCCGTGGCTGATATCGTGCCAGTCACCGCCCCCAGCCCCATTCAGCACACCCCGCTTCCATTGCCCCCACCGCACATCCGCTGGGTATCCCATCAGCCCCTAGATTGCGAGAGGCCGCTTCCATGGCACGCAGCTCCCCTCACTGCACCCCTGGAGCACCCTGGAGGTCTAGGATCTGCATGAGCCCTCGTTTTCGGCTTCCTTTGCTTTCTCCTTCCCAATGACACCTCTTTGCTTTGCTCTTGACCCCAGCAGACATCTCAGCCAAGCCCTGGTGGTCAGTCTTCATGCAGCAGCCAACAGTCCCCCATCAGCAACTTTTCCAACAGTGGGCTCGAGCTTCCTCTGACCGACGGAGGTGGTGTGGGAGACCTCGGGGCCATTGACGAAACCCCAATCATGGACTCGACCATTTCCACTGCAACCACCGCCCTCGCCTTGCAAGCCAGGAGGAACCCGGCAGGGACCAAATGGATGGAGCACGTAAAACTAGAAAGGCTCAAACAAGTGAATGGAATGCTTCCACGACTGAACCCCGTTCTACCCCCCAAAGCCCCTGCAGTCTCTCCTCTCATAGGAAACGGTGAGTCCCGTGCCCCATCTCACCTCGGCTCCGGGCTCTCCGTTCTGTCCGTACACCCAGGCCACAGTGGGAGGAACCTGGCTTGGCGTGTACTGGTGTGTCCCCCGGTCCTAAAATTATACTGTCACCACACCCATCGGTGTGGCCTCTCTGGAGAGGCCGTGTTTTAAAAGCAGTTCGTGAGGGGATAATAATGTAGGACTTGTGTTCTCACGGTGAGATCAGAACTGTTGGACCGGGCCGAGGAAGTCCCTCCAGCAGCGGCATCTGGGGTTAGCACTGCCATCTGGTTTCCCATCGGCACCCGGGAGATCGGCGGCCACCTTGACTGACATGTTCCCAGGGCAAGGCAGGCCAGGCAGCCTTGCGCATCTGCAGCCCCAAGCCCATGTCAGGTTTTGCTTCTGAGATGACAGTGAATGCCTAGACTGTATCCTCAGGGTGAAGCTCCCACGCACTGACCCAGATGTCCTCCACCTTCAGGGGATGTCAGAGGAAGCCCCGAGTAGATAGGACACTCCGGGAATGCCTTTGGCCTTGGACTTGCCTGTCCCCAGAGCACTGCGCCCTACACCTATGAAGGAGCTTAAGTGATCCAGGCTGTGTCTGCTGCTCTGTTGAAGCCAGGGGTCTGCAAACTTTCCCACCCACTCGCGAATAAAGTTTCTTGGCACACGGCCGCACCCACTCCTTCACTGTTCCCTGGTCCCTTTGGGGACACGCAGCAGAGGTTGGGGGCTGTGGCAGACTCTGTGCCGCCGGGGAAACCAAAACTAGTTTCACCCGACCCTGCACCTGACCGGTTTCCCGCCCTCCCGAAATGAACGCGCGTCTCTCTACCCTCTCTCTGCAGGCACGCAGCCCAGTACCAGCTGCAGTCTGGGCGGGCCCTTGACTCTCCTCCCGAACAGAAGCGACCTTGCTGGTGTGGACATCACCATGCTGAACATGCTCAACCGGAGGGACAGCAGCACCAGCACCATCAGCTCCGCCTACCTGAGCAGCCGCCGCTCCTCCGGCATCTCCCCCTGCTTCTCCAGCCGCAGGTCCAGCGAGGCGTCCCAGGCCGAGGGCCGGCCCCAGAACGTGAGCGTGGCCGACTCCTACGACCCCATCTCCACCGACGCCTCGCGCAGGTCCAGCGAGGCCAGCCAGGGGGACGGGCTGCCCAGCCTGCTCAGCCTCACGCCCGCGCAGCAGTACCGCCTGAAGGCCAAGTACGCGGCGGCCACGGGCGGGCCGCCCCCCACCCCGCTGCCCAACATGGAGAGGATGAGCCTGAAGACCCGGATGGCCCTGCTCGGGGACGGCCGGGAGCCCGCGGGGGCCCTGCCTCCCGTGCACCCTCCGCGGAGGTGCAGCGACGGGGGCGCGCACAGTTACGGCCGCCGCCCTCTGCTGCCGGCCGACGCGCTGGGCAACGGCGTGAGGCGGGCCAGCGACCCGGTGAGGACGGTGTCCGAGAGCCTCTCGCTGCCCCGGGTGCCGCGGTTCGGCAGCCTCCACGGCTTCAACCCTCCGGCGCTGCCCGCCTCCCTGGAGAAGCGCAACTTAGTGCTCCAGAACTACACGCGGCCCGAGGGCGGCCAGCAGCGCCACTTCGCGGCCTCCCCCTGCCCTCCGAGCATTACCGAGAATGTCACCCTGGAGTCCCTGACCATGGACGCCGACGTGAGCCTGAACGAGGAGGACTTCCTGCCCGACGACGTGGTGCAGTATTTAAATGCCCAGAACCAGGCGGGGTATGAGCAGCCCTTCCAAAGCGGCGTCTCTGACGACGGCAAGGGGCCCCATGGGCCCGGCCTAGGGAGTGGGCACGGAGACTTCGACCCCCCCGGGCTGCCCGACAGCCACGCCGGCCAGCAGTACCGGCCGCTGGAGCAGCCTTGCCCTGAAGCCAGCAAATCCGACCTGCCCATTCAGTGGAATGAGGTCAGCTCTGGCAGCGCCGACCTGTGCTCGTCCAAGGTGAAATGTGGCCAGAGGTCGGCGGCGCCGCAGGCTCGAGCCTTCGGCTTATACGCCAACACCAACATGGGCGTTCACCCACAGAATCCCTTAAGGAACGGGGTCGGCCCCGCCGGGGGGTACCCGACCCTCGTGGAGCACGGCAGCTCCTACGGTGGCCCCGAGCACTTAGCGAGCCACGGTGGCGGACCGGGCACCAGCGGGAACACCTTCCACGAACAGCCCTACAAGACCCAGCAGTATGGGAACTGCCTCAACAGGCCGTTGGCAGCCCCGGGCCTTCTCGACGGGGCCTGTGGTGCCGGGATTCAGGCCGCAAAGCTGAAAAGCACCACGGTGCCGGGGAACGGGAGCCAGCCAGGTTTTGGCCTGTCGGTGGTGCCCCACGAGTCAGCGGGCAGCGCTGTGAATGGCATGGCACCCCAAGACCTGGTGGGCCAGGGGTACCTGTCCCATCAGCTGCTCAACGACCACCAAGGGGCCGGTCGCACCGGTCAGCAGGTGCTAGAGCAGGTCAGCGCTACCTCACACGTCAGCATCTATCAAGGGCCAGAGAGCGGCCTGCCGGGGCCCCCCTGCCAGGGCAGCCAGACGTCGGGCTTGGCAGCCGCCAGGGGCTACCAGCCCTGTGCCGGCTTCGGGGGCAGCAGACGCCAGGCTGCGCCGAGGGGCGGCCTCGCTCTGCAGCAGGGACAGCTCAGCGACACGAGTCAGGCCTGTAGGGTGAACGGCATCAAGATGGAGATACAAGGGCAGCCCCATCCGCTCTGTTCGAACCCACAGAGTTACTCTGGTCAGTTCTATGACCAAACCGTTGGCTTCAGTCAGCAAGACATGAAAACTGGTTCATTCTCCATTTCAGAAGCCAACTGCCTGCTCCAGGGGGCCAGCGCCGAAAACTCTGAATTACTCTCCCCAGGTGCTAACCAGGTGACAAGCACAGTGGACAGCCTCGACAGCCATGACCTGGAAGGGGTGCAGATTGATTTTGATGCTATCATCGACGACGGGGACCACGCCAGCCTGATGTCTGGAGCCCTGAGCCCCAGCATCATTCAGAACCTTTCCCACAGCTCCTCCCGCCTCACCACACCGCGCGCATCCCTCCCGCTGCCCGCGCTGTCTGTGAGCACCACCAACATGGCCATCGGGGACATGAGCTCTTTGCTGACCTCCCTCGCGGAAGAAAGCAAATTCCTTGCAGTGATGCAGTAGGCAATAGGGGAAAGGCTGCCAACCAACGTGAAACTTTAGGAGTTTAAGATGAAATGGACTCGGTTTTTGGCCGGTTTGTTTTTTGTTTTAGTTCTGTATGTATTTTAGCAATCTCATCTCACCTGACTGGGATGTGTTTCAAGTATATTCCTTTTATGGAAAAGGACTCTGAACAACCCTAAAGTATTCTAGGGAGAAACTGTCTTCCATTTCAGTTTTGAATCAGTATTGTGACACTCAAACCATCCTCTTTGTTTCCTTTTTTTTTTTTTAACTGTAAGCTCCCCCCCTTTTTAGTAAACAGTGGAAATGTGTGATGTGCACGTTCTTTTCGAAGAGAAGTCATACAAGAGTTTTGATGTGTTTCTCATATGAGAGTTTTGATGTGTGTTTCTCTGTTACTCAAAGGAAATAGGAGTTGGCGTGCTTTTGACCAAGGGGTTACACTTACAGCTTTTTAAATTTTCCTTTACATGTGCTCTGTGTTTCTTTTTGTTTTTTGTTTTCTTGGGTGTTTTTTGGGTGTTTTTTGTTTTTGCTTTTTGGTTTTGATGGTGTTTGTTTGTTTGTTTGTTTGTTTTGGTAATTCCCACATTGGGCACAAAAACCAGAATATGGATAGTGAATTTAAGAATCCTTTGTGGGTGTGCTGTAGCAGACATAACCAATTTTTGACGCACTCCCCACCCCAGTTCAGGTCAGGGTTGCACGCAAACAGGAATTTGGGACTCTGGCAGATAAACACTAGTTTGCTCACGGTTGGGGTTTAGAATTCCTCCTGTCCCTTAGTGCGCTCAGGGCAGGTGCATCTATGTGCTCACTTCTCAGTTATCCACGCTGTCTCTCCTCCCTCCGTCTCCACAACTATTCAGTGTTGCTCCGCGCTCCAGGGAGAGAGGGGAAGAGTGGTGGGTTGGCAACTTCCATCCGTTCTGGCAAAAAGTTAGGTAGATTGTAGAGTGAAGCTACTGGGTAGAAATAGTGTGGGGAACATTTGTGGGTTTGCTGTATTTGTTGATTATAGTTCCATCTCTTTACCCATTATCATAGATAACTGAGAATTGATTATATATAGTTCTAAGTATTTAGGTATTTAAAAGACCCAGTGGCAGGCTATTTCATTAACATACCTTCATTCCACTGTAGCAAAGGAGTATTTCTATTCTAAGTGCCCTATTTTAAGGGATTTATAACACTTAGTTGTAAAGGAAAAAGCTGACATACAATGACATTTGGAATAAATCACTTTAACCATTGTTAGTATTTGTAAGCGCTAGGGAGGATGGTCAGTGGCTGTGTGGATGCCTTTTCTTACACCTTCTCTATTAAACGAGGCATCCGGTTAAGAAGTTAAATGTTCTATGCAGTTAGTCCTTCACGTGGACTTAATTGGTAATTTTGTTTTGGATTAAAACATTTAAAGACTAAAAAAGTGCAGCTACTTGCCATGTGCAGCTGATACACATAAAAGACATACTATGTGTGTACAGAGTACATGGATTATCCAACATTTTACATTTAAAAACGTGTAAGCTATTAAAAATAAAATATTAACACCTCAGACTACCTTCTCTGTTTCATCCCATTAACCCTGGAAGTTGGATTTAGCCAAAGTGACTCATGAGTCAGTTGTGTGGCTTTTCACCCCCTTTATTCCCGCCATTTAAATTCGTATTAGACAAGTCAAGTAAAATAAAACATTAGACAATAGGAAAAAATATTAGAACCAGCCCATTTTTCTCACATTGATGATCTCTCCTTTGGAACAAGAATCTCAGCGTGGAGGGAAATTTGCCCTTTGGAACTTTGTGGCTGAGAAAGTTGGGTTTGTTTTCCACGGAATGTTCCTGAAACCACTGGGAGGGGTGCCGAGACTTCTCCCGCTGCCCTCCCACAACCAGCACCTGCTCTTAAGTCCAAGGATGCATCTGCTTTGGAACAGAGCCCAAAAGCGAAAGACAGCTACTGATCTGAGCTCAATGGATCTGAGCAACAGAAAAGAGCCAGGCTTTTTCTGTGTTCCTCAAAACAGTCCATGACCCGGTCACAAAATCAGTGGTCCACCCCCTGAATCTCTTTTTTCCACAAACAACAGAATCTTTACACCCTAATCTTACCTTACGTGCCCTCACGGTTTGGTCTGACCCTGTTCTTGGTTTCCAAGCTTGGGACCTGGGTGTTCTGCAGCCGCTGAGTGAGGACAGCGGCCCCTGGCACCACCCTGCCCTCCTCCTCCATCAGAGTCCCTCCCCGGTCAAACTCCCAGAGGTGACCTGCCCTTCTCAGTGACCCTAAATTCCTACCTCGCCTGCCCTCCATGGAAGGACAGACGGCAACTGGCAACCGTGGGGGAGGACCGTTGTCATCCTGGGTCTCTGCTTTGCCCTGTGGTGATTTAGGGGATTCTCTGCGTGGCTACCATTCTTTACCTTTCCATGCTTGCTTTCCTTCCTCTGGCCCTTAGGTTTGCAGAGATAGACCTATTTCAGTGCAGCCCTTGGCTTCTGTCTGTGGAAATCTCAGAAAGATGGGGAAGAGGGGAGAGGGAGGAGGAGAGTGTACTTTTCCCGGAGCGCTGCGATGCGCCCCGACGGTCAGTGGAAGGAAGGTCTTTTGGGGCCACTTGGAAGCCTTCCGTCTGTAGACTTGGCATCTCCTCGGGCGGGACGCACCCCCATTCTCCAGCCTCCAGCCTCCTCCCCATGTCTCTGACCCTCCCTGCTGAGGGAGACCGCAGCGACTCACGAGCGTCCCCCCTTACTTCTCAGTGCAGGCTCGTGCGTGCTTCTCCTGTTGAACATCCGTGTGAACCGTGTTTTTATTCGTTAAACCGTTTTGATTTATTTCCTAAAGAGCTAATGAGACTGCCCCTGCTCCTCATATGTTGGCTCGTCCCCTCGAGCCGCAGAGTTGTGATTCTTGCGATGTATGTGCCTTATTTTCTGTTGATCTTGTCCACGCGAGGGACCAGCCCCTGTAGCCCGATGGCAGCGCGAGGGTGTGCGCTCCGGAGCCCCCCGAGTGCGTGCGCGATCCGAGCAGAGTCAGCCGTCTTGTAACCTGGTTTCCCATGTTGTTTGAACTGATGGAGGATGTTCTCTTCGGACAAGTTACTGTTGTGTATCCCGCAAACATGTAAAATAAAAGACGAGTTCATTTTTTTCACCTTTTTTAGATTTTTTAAAAAAAATAAAATGTGTAATCCTTTTTTAAAAGAAACACATGTAAATACATTTAAGTATTGTAGGCATAGTGTTCGGATGTGGCCGGCCCTGGGCCTTCTCGGATCAGCCTGCAGCCGTGCGATGCCCCCCTCTCCGCGTGCGATTCCCCCGTGCCCACCTCATGCCCAGGGCCGCAGTCCCGCCACACGTGGACTCTACTTTTGCTTTCGGAACCACCTAGTCCTTTTGTAACAAAAACAGAGAACAATGTTTCTTACAATGTCAATAAAAAACGCTTTGTACTGAAATTGTTCCGGGGTTGTTTATTCGATCCCTAGCTAAACGGAAAGGTGCTGCCTTGGGAAAACTGCAGAGCTCGCACTGGGACGCACTGGGACTCAGACCCCGCTCCCCCCACTTACCCTCTCCTCCCCGCCATCCCCAGCCCTTCCCCCATGGGCCACATACAAGCTGAGCTGCAGTTCCGCCCCAGACTCAGATTCCTTGTCCCCAAGGCTGAGACTAAGACGCTGGTGCAGCTGCTGGTTGCGACCTCGGGGTGTGTACCTGGGAGGCACACCAGTTGTAACCCTAATTGTTTTTCTTAATTTCATCACTTTACCAAACTCTGGGGAAGGAGTGTGAATATGGTTCAGTGTCTAACAACTGAGCTTGTTTCTCTTCTATAAATTATCCTCTCCTTTCAAAGGATATAGGGTATAATACTGTTCACAGGAAACGTGACGTGGTGGAAACCTACTTTTCTGTGGCTTTTAAGAACTGACTTTAGACAGAAATGTAAGCGATTTCTCTAATTTGTCTTTTCTTCTATTTTTTTTTTCAGTATTATTCTCTAGATCACCATAAAAGCCTCCAAAGGGTCCCCTTCCTGAGTAGCAGCAGGTGTCCTCTGAGCCCCTAGCTTCCCCTGGTTGGCAGGATCCCAGGCCTCCGTGGATGGGCGTGGCCGTCGAGCACAGGCCGGTGGCTACACCAGCAAGCCCGAAGGGGACCCCCAACCTGTGAGTGATGAATGGGTGCCCCCCTGCGGGGATTCTGCAATCATAGAGATGCTTCATGCTCTCCTAATCCACAAGAGAACAATTTCTCCCATAAAACCAGTATTCTTTGCTTTTATAGCTACAGCCCTCATGTAAGGTATCCAAATGAATTCAGAAGAAAAGAGGAAAAAAATGAATTTATACTCTACCATAGGAATAAATCACCAGCGTACGAAGAAGTATTTCACGTAGTAAGTCAGAGTAAAAGAGGAAAAATGAGGCTCGTAGAAAGGACAGGAGGGGACTGGGATGCCCCCAGGAATGGGGTACATCCCAGAGATGTAGTTCCTGTGATCGGACAGACAGGAGCGGCTCAAGGCTTGGTTTAGTTATTTTTAAATTTATTTTTACTTTTAAAATTTTATTTATTTATTTATTTGATAGAAATCACAAGTAGGCAGAGAGACAGGGGAAGCAGGCTCCCTGCTGAGCAGAGAGCCTGATGCAGGGCTCGATCCCAGGACTCTGAGATCATGACCTGAGCCGAAGGCAGAGGCTTTAACCCACTGAGCCACCCAGTTGCCTCTTGAGGTTTGGTTTAAAACGTGAGAAGGAGACTTCGAAGCAGAGTTGCAGGTAAAATGGTAGAGATGCAATGCACTCGGCATTTCATAAAGGTTTAAGTAATTTGGAGAGTTCAAAGATGTTATATATTACCCAGATGAGAACTTCATAAGAGAACACTAGGATAGATGGAAAAATTAATCCACTGTCAAAATACCTTATTCATCCTTTTCTCCTCCCGTGTTGTTCTTTTCTTGGCAGTCCCCCCCCC